CACAAAATTTTTCCATGCACATGTTAATGGAAAAAGAAGAAAATTGCAAATAAAAAGAATCCAAGATGATAGAGGAGAATGGTTAGATAGAGAAGAAGACATAGCGCAGGAGGCAATCAGATTCTACACAAAACAATTTACAGAGGAAAGACTTCCAAGTGACTTTGACATGCTGCAGTATATACCTAAGATGGTATCAGAAGAACAAAATATTGTAATTAATGAACTACCAGAGGAGGAGGAAGTTAAGAATGCTGTATTTGGACTAAATGCAGAGAGTGCTGGAGGACCAGATGGATACACTGGTAAATTCTATCAGACTTGCTGGGGTATAATTGCAAAGGACATGACGAAGATGGTGAAATCTTTCTTTTGTGGGCATGAGTTGCCTAGGTACATCACATGTACGAATCTGACACTAATTCCAAAGAAAAAAGAAATCACCACTTTCTCAGATATGAGGCCTATCAGTCTAAGCAACTTCACCAGCAAAGTGTTTTCTAGAATCATCCATGATAGGTTGACTAAGCTACTGCCAACATTAATATCACCACAACAATCAGGCTTTGTTAAAGGCAGAAGTATTGTAGAAAACATCTTACTAGTTCAAGAGATAGTTCATGATATTAGAGTAAGGGGTAAGCCTGCTAATGTTGTTATCAAATTAGACATGGCAAAAGCTTATGACAGAGTATCTTGGATATTTTTGACTAAAGTGCTCAGAAAAATAGGTTTTGGGGAGATCCTAATAGATATGATTTATAGAATTGTATTCAATAACTGGTACTCAATACTAGTTAATGGACAACCTCAAGGGTTCTTAATTTAAGTCCACAAGGGGAGTAAAACAGGGTGATCCCTTATCACCAACTTTATTTATCCTGGCTGCAGAATGTTTATCCAGAGCTCTTAATGCACTTCATTGTAGGGATGGGTACAAGGAGTATGGAATGCCAAAGTGGAGTCCCTATGTGAACCATTTAGCTTATGCAGATGATACTATCATATTTGCATCAGCAGATAAATATTCTTTAGAGCTGATAATGAACACCTTGCAAGAGTATGAGAAGGTAAGTGGACAACTGATTAACAAAGCAAAAAGTGCGGTCTTCATGCATCATCACACCCCCCAAGTTCTAGTGGATCAGGTATATTCTGTGACAAAAATTCCAAGGAAAGATTTTCCTTTCACCTATTTGGGCGTACCAATGTATTATAGCAGGAGGCAGAATATTTTCTACAAAGAACTTTTGGATAAAGTCCAAAACAGATTAAGTTCTTGGACTGGAAAACTCTTATCTATAGGAGGAAGGACAACTTTGATAAAATGTGTCCTACAGAGTATGCCTATTCATTTATTATCAGCATGTGACCCTCCAGCTGGAGTCATAGCCCAACTACACAGAATGTTTGCTAAATTCTTCTGGAGCAACTCAGTTGGAAACTCTAGTAAACACTGGGCCACTTGGACAACATTATGTCATCCATATGAAGAAGGAGGAGTGGGTTTCAGGAGTCTTCAAGATATATCTAAAGCATTGTTTGCAAAGCTATGGTGGAACATGAGAACTAGAGAATCATTGTGGAAAAGTTATATGAGCAATAAATATTTGAAGAAACACCATGCAGTGGTAGTACAAGCTAAGACAAGCACATATATCTGGAAGAAAATGATCAAAGGCAGAGAAGAAGTAGAACCTGAAATCTGGTGGTCAATTAAGCAAGGTAATTCTTATTTTTGGCTAGATAACTGGACAGGTTTGGGTGCTCTGTATAAAATTATTCCCCCAGAATTTGAGTACGATCAAACAGTCATTCTAGTCAAAGAAGTTGCAGAAGAAGGACATTGGGATGAACAAACTTTAAAAGAATTACTTCCTCAAGATTTGGCTGATCACATTTTACAAAGAATCAGTCCACCCAAGGACACTGAAGAGTTTGATAGACCTTACTGGAAATTGGAATCTAGGGGAAAGTTCACAGTAAGTACTGCATTCCAGAAAGTAAGACAAAAGCAGGAAATTAACAAGGTGTACAACCTCATGTGGATCAAAGGTATGCCTATCAAAATCTGTTTTTTCATGTGGAAATTGTGGAAATCCAAACTACCCCTAGATGATACATTGAAGAAGTGGGGAATTCAATTCCCTTCAAGATGCTATTGTTGTGAAAATTCTAAAATAGAAGACACTGCTCATGTATTCCTACACTCCCCCATAGCTCAAATGGTATGGGAGCACTTCTGTGGGCCAGTGGGAATTAACATGAAGAACATGCAGCTATCCCAAATTATTAATCGATGGTGGGAGATCGATGCACATCACCAGATTAAGTATATATTTCAGGCTGTCCCTTCTATCATAGTGTGGGAATTGTGGAAAAGGAGAAACACACTAAAAAATGGGAAGAAAATCTCCAGTAACAAGGTGATCTATCAAATTATGCATACATTGATTCTATTCATGAAAACTAGGAGGAGAAATTGCACGTACATCCCATACAAATGGACAATGGTGGTAGAGGCTATTCACAACTAGAATCCAACAGTAAAGGTAACTAAAGTTATTTGGGGACCACCAAATACTGGTTAGGTTAAAGTCAACACTGATGGAGCATCAAAAGGAAATCCAGGAAGAAGTTCCTGGGGTTTTTGTGTGAGAAATAATAAAGGGGATGTCATACAAGCTCAGGCTAAGGAGATTGATGAACCTTTAATTACTAATACACAGGCAGAAACAATGGCACTCTTACATGCTTTGAAGTACATAGATACAGCACAACTAGACAAGGTGATTATAGAAACTGATTCTCTATTACTTAAAAACATTGTGGAAAGAGTGTGGAAAGTACCATGGAAGGTAGTGAATATTCTGGAGGAAATATGGAGGCTAATGCAAGGAAAAACAGTGGTTATATCACACATTTTCAGAGAAGGGAAAAAACTAGCCGATTACCTAGCTAACCTAGCTCTAGAGAAAGGGACTGTTCAGGTGAATTGTTTTCAAGAATTAGAATCTCAAGGCAAGAGAATAGTGAACAGTGATAAACTAGTGGTACCATATCTAAGAATCCGACAATGCAGAAAATAAACACATATCAGAAGCAGGAGGAGGTGCATCAAAGGAAATTTGTTCCTCAGTTTCAAATCCTCAGAGAGGCGAATTATGAGGAACTGATTTTTTCTAATAATTGGCTCAATTTTGCAGTACCAAGGAAAAATAATAATATGAAAATGGGCAAAAGCACAACAATAAGATAGGGGCATACACACAAGTACAAACAGTGAGCCACAGTGGTAAACACAAAAAGCAAGCAACTCAAATAGAAATGGTGGTTCATGCTACTACTGAAAAATCAATGAAACACAGGAAAACCCCAACAGACAGAGCTCATCCAATAGTCACAGGATCTCGACATAAAGTATCCAATGAATATGGATCACTGATCGTACCAAACGATGGATCCCAACATCAATCTTGCAATTAACACACAAAAATGGAAAATGAGAATCACAACAAAAAGAAGAAGAGAAAGAAGGGGACTGAACAAAGAGGCAAACATTCACTCAAAAGAGAAATGGTCCTTACCAGGACAAAAATCGAAAAGGAAATGGCTGACCATGGAGTTCTGGAGAGTTCCAAGAGTCATTTCAATTTTCACTTTAGTGCTTTTAGATATAGAATTTATTTGCTTTGTTTTTATTTTATTTATGTTGGGTCAATTTTGGTCCATCTTTTGAACATAGCCCAATGGGCATTTCTTTAATAAAAATGGCCTGATGGCCAAAAAGTGTTAAAAAAAAAAAAAAAAAAAGAATTATATGAAGATAATATTAAGTTGTGTTGGCCTAAGAAAAATTGTGAACGATTGAACAAGTTTTTAATAGTGAAAATTTCAAAAAAAAATTTACATAAAATTATTATTGTGAAAATTACATAATATGGCTGTACGCTTACATATGTATTTGTGTATCTTAAAATTTCAGTCGTACATCTAACTCATACATATACAAACAAATGATCGCACATACAATAGTTACAAACTTACAATCAAGCATTGTATTCATGTTATTTATAGTTAAATGTGAGATTATATTCTACTACATTTTGGAATTAAACCATTATTACACTTTGAAATATATTAAAATATATATATATTTTTGCAAAAGTGAGGCCCCCTCCCCCACCCCCACAAAAAAAAAGGGAAAATTATTAATACAAGGATTGGTGGCTTGTTCCAATTATTTACTTAAACAAAACAAGACCTAATCCTCAAATGTAAACAAATCCAATATATGTATATGATATTTCATCTTGTGGATCACTTGTTATATATCATACTAATTGTATCTTGTATAATATTATAATTTAATTATAATACCAATTATCATATGCCACCAAACACAAAGATTCTTCAAAAAGAATATTAGAGATCATCCTATCAACTTCTCATTCCTAACCCCAAAAAAATATGTATCTTTAGTGTTTACATCAATTCAATAATTACGTAATACATGTATTCATATACACTATAATTATTAAATTATATAGTAGTTCAAACACGAGGCTTGATGAAGGGATTCTATTCCTACCACCAAAATATCGACATGATTCATTTATTTACAGTTACATAAAAATATATTTCAAAATCTGATTGAAACTGACAAGTAAGCACTCTAACTTTAAAAATGAATATGTAGACATTTCAGCTTGATTTCAATAACAACCAAACACACTCTCATTGACGTTGATGTGACACACAAATTTTAGATGTGTTTAAACAATCATCTTATAAATTGAAATATTCAATTGACACTATATAGACGAATTGAGACGTTTAGATATGCATATTAAAAATTGAAGTGGTTACTTACCAATTGAGGTCACGTAACGTTTGTTTATGTATTATGCCCAAATTTAAAATGTTTGTTGGACAAAATGACAAAAAGTAATAAAACGTGACCACCATTGCCAATTTTCTAATTATTGTCTATTTTGTCTTTCCTTATTTCTAAGTTTCAAGGGTTTCTTTAATGGGACCTTAGCAGTCATTTCTCTTATTTTCATGGCAGAAAATATCAGAGCTTTAATCTTTCTAATTCATGGAAATTTTTTCCCTTCCTTTTGACCCATTTTCCAGAACATATTTCTAATTCATTTTTGAGGTAAATTTCTTAATCAATAAAACAAATGTAATATGAAAATTGTAGTTCTTATTGATCTAGTTTATGAGATTGAAATTGTTATGTTTATGGAATTTTAAATTTTTTATTGCACATTATGAAGATTTTTCCTTTTGGTGAATGTAAATATGTGAAATTTCTCTGTAGTTGTATTAAAGTTGGCATTTTTTTCAAGATTTTTCATATGGTGAATGTAAATATATGAAATTTCTTTGTATTTGTGTTAAAGTTTGCATCTTTGTGAAGAATTTTTATGTGGTGAATGTAAATGTGTGAAATTTCTTTATAGTTATGTTAAAGTTTGCAAAAAAAAATTCATGTGGTGAATGAAAATATGTGAAATTTCTTTATAGTAGTGTTAAAGTTCACATTTTTTCAAGATTTTTCATGTGTTGAATGTAAATGTGTGAAATTTCGATAAAGTTGTGTTAAAGTTTGCATTTTTTTCAAGATTTTCATGTCATTGAATGTAAATATATGAAATTTCTTTGTATTTGTGTTAAAGTTTGCATCTTTTTGAAGAATTTTCATGTGGTGGATTAAAATATGTGAAATTTCTATATAGTTGGGTTAAAGTTTGCAAAAAAAAAATTTCAAGATTTTTCATGTGGTGAATGAAAATCTGTGAAATTTCTATATAGTTGTGCTAAAGTTTGCATTTTTTTTCCCAAGATTTTTCATGTGGTGAATGAAAATATGTGAAATTTCTTAGTAGTTGGGGATAAAGATTGCATTTTTTCAAGATTTTTCATGTGTGAAATTTCTTTGTAGTTGGAGATGAAGTTTGCATTTTGATCAAAAAAAATTCTTGTGGTGAATGTAAATATGTGGGATTTCTTTGTATTTGTGTTAAAGTTTGCATCTTTTTTTCCATGCTATGGTGGGGGACTTTCTGATTTTTCTTTCCTTTTCGAGATATCAAGTTAAACGATTTTTGGGGCTTTGTTGCATATGTAAGGTTCTGGAAATGGATGACGAGCTCAAGAAAGTGGAGAGTCATATCACATCAGCTGCAGCTTTTGTGGAAGGAGGAATTCAAGATGCCTGTGATGATGCGTGCAGCATTTGTCTGGAGGCTTTCTGCGAAAGTGATCCTTCAACGGTGAACACTATGAATACTTCTAGAACAAAGTATAACTGCTTGTTAAGTATAGGATTGAAGGGGAGCCTTTGGAGCAACAGTAAAGTTGTCTACGTGTGACCTTTAGGTCACGGGTTCGGGCAGTGGAAGCAGCCACTAATGCCTGCATTAGGGTAGGCGGTCTACATCATACCTCCTTCGGGTGCGCCCTTCCCTGGACTCTGCTAACGCAGGATGCTTTGTGCACGGGGCTACCCCCCCTTTTTTTCTATTAAGTATAGGATTGTTTTGCTCCTTCTGGCCCTTTTTACCAAGGTGTTAAAAACTGCCTAAGATATCTGGTCTGTTGTTCAACAGCTAACAAGTTGCAGGCATGAGTTTCACCTCCAGTGCATCCTAGAATGGTATGCTGTTGCACCAAATATCTTTTTTTTCGTGAAGTTGATTTTGAGAATCTTTTTTTTTGGGAAGTTGATTTTGAGAACCTTAATTCACTGCTCTTGTTATTTTGCATTCAGTAGCTTATTGTTGTTGTCTGGGCTATTAAAATGTCACTTGAAGATTCGAAATCGGGTGAGAAATAGAAGAATAAACTTAGACTTGATAGCTTTTGTGACTGTCCTTTTCGGGAAAGGGGTGGCTAACTGGCTATCATAATTGTGAGTTGGGATAGCAAAACAGAGAAGTAAAAACGATTTTTTTTGGATAACCGTGATGTCCAGGCAAGCTTACACGTTCCTCGCATAGGTACCAGATGACTCTATCCACCAAGGCTTAGACAAATGGGAAGAAATCACCTAGTGTTTCCTGTTTCCATCATCTTTATTGATTTTGAGAATCTTTTTGTCATGAAGTTGATGTTGGTTTAGAAGGTGTGATAAAGTTTAGTCATATCTCGTAATGCCATGATCCACTTGATCTCGAAGTTCAAACTAAGTTCTTAAAGGAAGACTTACTAATTTATCACAAAGTCAATTTCACTAGAAGTTAAAAATAGAAAATAACAAACACAAAATCTCTTCCTACTTGGAAAACAAGATATCCTCCTATGTAGAAAATCACACCTTCCCCCGAAAATCTTTCTAAACTTTTTCATTGCTATATTTCAAGGAAACATAAACAGCTAAGCAAGCAAAAGATGTTGCAGAACTAATGAAACAATAAATAACACTCTGATTAGACAGATTGAGTAGCAGAAGGGAGAAAGGGAGGACAACAGAGAGATATAGGCGAATGAGAAAAAAGTATAAAAAAGCAACAACATACCTAGTGAAATCCCACTAGTAGGGTCTGGGGAGGGTGGTGTGGACACATACCTTACCCCTACCTTGTGCAGAGGCTATTCTGATAGACCCTCAGCTCAAGTAAAACATATCAAAACCGGTTTGAAAAAGAAATACAGTAGCAAAGAGGTCATGTCGAAAATAATGGGGAAAAGAACAGTAGCAACAACAAATAATACAAAAACCCGAAGGAACGGGTAATAGAAAATTCAAAGAATAAGATAATAGAATAGTAATTATGATATTAATACAAGGAGTGTTGACAAAGTACATAAGGGTTCCATTCACGGAACAAGAACTCTGACTAGTTGGAATGCCTAAAACAAATAAAGCTCGATTTGTAACTAAAAGATAAGGCTACACCAAATAGCTCCATATAACATTTTCTTACATTCTTCTGTCAGTTTAGGTGCATAGTGATCATAGAGAACTTAAATCTTCTTTTTGTTTTGTGAGTAAACTTGTAGCAATTAGCACCATGATTACGTTGAACTGGAGACCTTTACACAACGTTAACCATGTTTAATTAATGTAGCTATCATTTTTCCTAAAGTTGTATGATTTTCTAATCACAAATTATTTTTCTTGTTACATACAAATCTACCATAAACAAAGAGGGAATGAATGGACTAGTGTTGTAGAAGCTGGTCTTGTTATTAGTTGTCCAAATTCTAAAGGGCATAATACATAAACAAACACTCAAACTTGGCTTCAGAGGGCAAGTAAGTTCTCCAACTTTGAGTATGCACATCTAGACACCTCAACTCATCTCCACTGTGTCAATTGAACACTCCTACTTACAAAATGATCATCTAGACACCTCGTCCACAAGACATAGTGGAGACGAGTTGGAGTGTTTGGTTGCCAGTTGAGATCAAGTTGAGGTGTGTAGATGTGCACTCTCAAAGTTAGAGTACTTACTTGCCAGCTGAGGTCAAGTTTGGGGTATGTTTATGTATTATGCCAATTCTAAAGTTTTTGCATGGCAACTATCTCATTTCGGGCTGTTTCTCTCAATAAGTTTGCATTATGAATTGGGGTATTTGATATGTTACTTTTTCATGTAATTTTCTTTGTTAATTTTAAATCTATAATCTATATTATTGTTTGTTAAAGTCACGCTTTGTAAATGAAAGCTCGTCAAACCCTGGGACTGATTTTTGTTCTGAAGTTCAAAACTTACATAAATGTTATTCGAGTTTTATTATAATTTGTATAATTTTTTCAAAACAGGCATCAAAGAAGTTCGAATTGTCCAATGTGTTGGCAGCCCTTAAGTCTGAAAGATCCTACAAGGTTCATTTGGCTTCTTTTTCCCTTTCGATTTTCACAAATTCATATCATTTTCATGCTACGTGTTACCTTTGATATTCGACTTTGATCGTCTCCCCTGATTCGAATGATATTGCAGTCAAGAATTGCTTGAGGCAGTGGAACAAGAGAGGAATATTAGGTTTAATCAGGCAAGAAATGCTACATTGTTTCGTCGTCCTACTCTGGTAAATTTTGAATTTCACAAGCTATAATGTTCCTTCTCCTATCTGATTAATGAAATTCCACAAGCTATAATGTTGTGTTGTCTCATTTTCCTTTTTGATTGCTCTCTAGTTGACCACAGGGATGAGTGAGTCTGAACTCGAAGAGCGCATTATTCAGCATTTGGCTGCTGCTGCAGCAATGGGACGGGGACGCCACTTTGGTCAACGAGAGGGATCAAGAAATCAGTCATCTTCCCATGGTCGTCCACATTTTTTAGTGTTTTCATCTCATCCTGATCCATCTCCTACTGCTGCTGCTGAATCGGATTCTCGTCAAGCTATAGCTGATCCTTCTGTTCCTATAACACCTGTCCGCCGTGAGACCACACAGTTCTTGCCTCACCTCTCATCTGGTCAAAGTAATCAACTTTCTGCTTCATCATCTCGATATGCTCGCCCACAAACCGTTAAACAAGAAATATCTGTTGGCGATAGGTATTGATGATTTTCAATCTCTTGGCTAAACATCAATGGTACACATGTTTCTCATATCAAAATTTTTCATTTTCTTTTGTTTGTTTGTTTTTCGTTTTAGAAGCTCTTCTAGTCCATCTTTGACAGAAAACCAGGATACAGAAGGACCATCAGACCTTCATTCACTATCGGAATCCTGGAAATCTCGATTTAATTCAATGTCAATGAAGTATGAATTGCTAAACTTGCTCTTTTGAGTGTGTCATTTTAGAAGCTATAAGCAATGTTGAATGTGGTTTTTGCTTTCCAGATATAGAGAATCAATCACAAAGAGTACACGAGGGTGGAAGGAGAGATTGTTTTCTCGAAGTACTTCTATGGCAGATATTGGTTCCGAAGTTAGGAGGGAGGATAATGCTGGAACAGGTAATGTATCTCGCATAATGGAACACCTCGAGACACAGGAAAATCAAACGGACAACAACATACCTTCAAACGCGGAGCAGAGACACAATGATAATATGGTTGCTCATAACGAAAGCAGATTGAACGGAAATAATCCTACGACTTCCTCCGCAAGTTCAGCTCGGAATGAAGTCACTATTTAATCAGTTGCATGGCAATAGTCCTCAGCATTTCATCTTTGAAAGTAAGCAATTCTTTTCTTTCTATTATCTCTTTTATTCTTATTGTGTCTTTAAAGATGCTTTTTTTTATGAAACATTGGCATAACCGAAATCGGTAGTATCTTGGTTCTTGTCAAGAGTGGCGGATCTAGGCTAGACGCAACGGGGTCTGCAAGACCCATATGCGTCTAGCTCGGACTAGATTGTATGTATGTGAGGAAAGATTAGAACTCATTGACTCGAAATCCTGAATGTGAGTCATGTGACCCTCTTTTTGGTTAACGTCCATGTTCGGTAGAGTATATATTGGATAATACAAGCAAATCATATCGTTGTTCTTGCTATTATCGATCTTATAGACGAAAAAAATCTAGCATCTTTATTGGTGTTTGTGTAAACTTGGATGAATTATTGCTCAAAAGAGATTGAACTAGACCATCTCTTTTTTATATAAAGGATAGCTCAGTGCACAAAGCATTCTACGTTCGTGAGGGTCCGGGGAATGGTCAAAAACCAAAGGGTGTGTACCTTGATGCAATCATTAGTGACTGATTTCACAACTTGAACCTGTGACCGATTGGGATTGATTCTCAGGATCGAGCCCTTATCAGAGGCGTGCCTACCGACACCTGTCAAAGTCTTCGGCTTGCACGACGTCTCCTTCCATAAATCACACAGATTACAACCTTCGAGATTATTGCTTTTATGATGAGATTTATTCCGTTTTCCAGGTTTTTCAGCTCATCAACCTTCCAAAAATGATATGCAAGGACGATAACAACAACAACAATTACGTCTCAATCCCAAACAAGGAGACAATGTACTATATTTTCGCGCTGAATATTCGATGTCTGATCAGAACAAAGAAATGAATAGCCAGAGAAAGATAATGTTTATAGTGTGTACACATAAGTTAAATGTTGAACATTCACTAAAATTTGGCTCTAAGGAGTTTGTCTTGGATTTTCACTTTATATACAACTTGAAAATTTGACATAATTTCTGCAATTAGAGTTTAATAAACCAATTTTTTTTCTATTTTAAAAAATAATAATTCAAAAGATGCTCTCGAATGTTTTTTTTTTTCCGGAAGGTCTCACACCATTAAGAGTATTTTTACATCGTTATGTTGTTTCCTTATCTTGTCAATTTGAATGTAGATTTTGTTCACACGCCATAAAAATTCCCCCTCAAAACAAATTTTCATGTGACCAATAACTACGATCCACGAGTTTTTTTTTCTTAGAGCTCCTCTCCTTATAGACTACAGTCAAGTGGCTTTTACTCCTCAACAAAAATAAAGCCTGAATTCTAGTGTAACTTTCGTCTTTGATCGGTGTCTCTTTCAAGACTCGAGAACTAAGTTTAACATGACCAACTATGAGGATCTACACGTCAATTTTCAAGATCCATTATGTGTTACTCATGTGATCAAGCATTTATCGCCTCCAAAGTTCAAAACTAGCTTCTTCTTGTATATGTGCATCTCTATCTCCATCTCCGAGCTATTTTTGACATGTAAAGGTAATAAATTGAGCGGAATGTCATAATTACTTTTTTCTCTCTCTCTCTTCATATTCGTCTCATCAAATTATCATCTCTAATGTCAGTCGTTGGAATAGGTCAGCCTAGCTAAAAATACTTTTGATATCATATGATATTTTATACTTTAGACATGTCACTCACAATTTTCATCAATAAGCCTTGTATATCGTATCATAAACAATATTATTACACCTTATACATAACTCACAAAATTTTCAACTATCAATTTAGATTTTTATCTTCGGACCCAACAATGTATACCTCTCAAGTGACCCGCCCTGCTAAAGAAGATCGATGCAAAGGTTAAATTTCACCACCTCTATCTACCCAACTAGTACTATTTGATCTACAAAAATCCAACCTAGAAACTTTCTCTCCCCCAGAAAACCCTCTATCCCCAAGCCCCTTTACTAGGTTGGGCAAGCTTTGATTCCCCTACCCCCAAGAAGTTGTTGGTCAGGATCGTGGAACTGTCGTTCGAGAAGTAAGAAGTTGTGTTTGGTCACAAGGATAATAGTTCTTCTTAGGTCAGGGGCGGCCGGACTATAATGCAGCTGATTGTGTAAATATTTTTTATTTTTACTATATTTATTATTATTGTTATTATTGTAATATTATGCAATAATAAAAAATTGAACAAAAAGATTACTAATATTACTTGAAAGTAATAATAAATGGCCTTAGTACTATAATGTCAATCATTATTATCCTTATTCAAATAAGGGTATCAAACCTACCCAAAAAAAAAACAAAAAACTGCCGACAGAGTTCAAGGGTAGAATAGTCAATTAAATATTGTAATCATTAAGTTTCGATTTACGTGATGGTGTTCGATTGACTACAAAATTTAAGAAAATAAATGAAATTTCTAATAGAGTTGTCAATATTTATGTAATTATAAATTATCTTAAATAGAAACATATCAGTTTTTACTAGATAAACTAAAAAGAAAATATCGTCAAATAAATTAAGATGATGAAATAACACTCAAGATTAAAAGTTTAAAATATTTGATTCATTATAAAATTTAGTGTCGGTCAATAGTTTCTGATCACATGCATTGTGTACGTGTACCCTTAAGTACAAATAGAATTATAAAATAGAATTGAAGAGAAAACGATATTTTTATTATAATTTGAGTGCAAAACTTTATGACAATCCAATTCAACCTCTTGTTATATGATGTGAAGTGAACAAAAGATTGAATTAATCAACAAAAAAAAAGTACTATAAGTCCTTTGTGTTACATATTTTGCCCCACGCATCTAACCACCTCGTGTGATTTATTGGTTCCACCAATTAAATATCTAAATTAATAATGTACCTAACACTGTAGAAAGTCTTTTATGGGACTTCATTGCGAGAATATAAGTTTTATTTTTGGAGATAAAAAGAAAATATATAAAATATAGAAGTTGGAATTATTAAAAGAAATAATGACTAACAACAAAAAAATAGATTTATTTTTCTTGCTATTATTCGGTGACTTGAGTTGAGAAATTCAGTATTTCACTGTGATTTTGAATAGCGATTCTGATTCAAAGTTAATTTTATTTTGACTATTTTTGGAGAAAGACGTCAAATAACTATTTATGATTTTTTTCTTTTCTAAGAAAAAATAAAGATTAAGCTTTTTAATTATATTGTAGGATAGTAGATAATCACAATTTATAAACAAAAAGATTACCAAGAAAATAGACAAAAAAAAGTGTGTTAGTTGTATTTATCGTTCTTGAAAACATAATGATCCTCAATTTAAGCTTATTGATCAATAGGTGGATCAAAAAATAGAAAGTAAATACTTTCTCCAAATTAATTGTTATGTTTTCATTTTTGAAAGTTAATATGACTCTTTTAATTGAATTAGATCAACCCAACATTTAATACTTTAAATTAAAATATTCAAAATTGTACGATAAATACTACAAGTTGAAACTTTTCTGATGTTAACTTGATGAAAATATATATTTTAATTGACATGTTTTCTTTATTGTCGTATTTTTTTTTTCATAGCTATTTTGATTTGTTGCACTTGAATCGAAAATCTTTTGGAAACAGTCTATATATCTCCCACTAGGTACGGATAAAATTTGCATATAGTCTATCTTCCCAATTTTTACTTGTGCGATTATATTAAATATATTATTATTATTAATCAAAAGTCACATAATTTAACTCTCAAAAAATCTAACATTAGTAAATCTAATATTAAAACTAATATGAGACTATTTAAGTAGCAATTAAAGCTTATTAATCATCACATAATACAAAAAGGAATTCCCTCCCAATATGTCATGGTAGATAAAAGAAAAGAACATAAAAGACAAAATTCTCCTAACTCAATAATTTAGTATAATCTTTTTTTCTCTTTCAATAAAGATGCTTGTATTTTATTTTTAAAAAGTTTCAAAAGATTGGAAAAGATTATTAAGTCTTTGATATAGCATACTATCTTTGAACACCAAATTTCTAAATAAAAAAATTAATTAAGGTCCAATCTATCATGAAACTCTCATCACCATCATCATTATTATTAGTTTGAGATGAATTATGCAATAATGCTAAAGCTTCTATAAAATCTTGTTAAATAGAAAAATATATGGCCTTCATTTTTATATTTAGGGGTGATTGCACTTTTAATCTCTCGTAACCTCAATACAGCTATCAAATATCAGGAATATCATGTGAAAAAACTAAAAAAGAAACTTTTTTTTGGCTTTGATCCTCATAATATTTGATTAAATACATTTATTCTTTAATTAACTAAAAAGTATGTTTAGCTATTATGCCTCACATAAATATTGATTATACTATATCTATGATTTATTTTACACTTATGATGATATTAAAAAAAATAAAAAATTGCGTCAATTACCAATTGTATTGTACCACATAAAACAATATTATGATTAAGCAATAATAAGAATTGTACAAGAGGATCTAAATCTTACTTAACAAGAATAATAGAGGGCCTTAAATCTTAATACTAGGGCCAACAATTATTCTCCTTATTCAAAACTCAACAAAATAAATAAAATAAAATGAACACCACCGACAGAGTTGAAAATTATAATTTTATTGATATTTGAGGATTAAAAGTGCTAATATTCTTTAGATTTATTACTTTATTTTAATTTTATGTGATGTTTTTCTTTTTAGCTGGTCCCACAAAGAATGATATTATTTTATATTTATAAATAATTTAATTTTAATATTAATAAGATAATTTATAATTACACAAATAAAAAATTTCCACTAAATAAATGTAGAGGCATATTCTTTCTTGTATAGTTAATTAACTCTAGTTATCATATTATACCAAAAAAAAAAGAAAAAAGACATCGTTCTTCCAACACCCATATTAATTTACCAATTTTAAAAAATCAAAAGATTGTTCCAAAAAGATCTAAATATTACTTAAAAATAAATTAGAGGGCCATCAATTATTCACTTTATTATTCAATATTATAAGATAGTTCATTTGATATGCGGAATAAGATACAATATCTCCATATAAAGCTTGAAATAAAATGACATAATATATAAATACGTTTTTTTAACGTAATTTCAGTTGACATCTATATATGTACTTCAACATTGACGAAGTTGGAAATTTTGACTAGCCACCATGTGTTATATGTGGTTACACCACTGTCCTTCAACTTTGAGTATGTATAAATAAACATTTAAATTTATATAAAATTAAATAAATAGACAGATATAAACACAATGAACGTATGTATCGATTTGATTATTTACTTATATAGACCTAAAATTAAAAGACAGTAATAATAATCAAATAAGACTAAATTAAAAATTAAAAAATATATTTATATATTACAACAAATAAAATTATATTGTTTTTAATTGTCGGTATAAATGTATCGTCTGATATTCTTTATTTTATTGTTCAATATATTTTATTTAAAAATAAATAAATTGAACACCGCCGACAGAATTAAAGGGTATTATAGTCATTTTCATAAGCCATAGAAAACAGCGGCAAAGCTGTGGCTTGTCATTCATAATCATGACAATGACAGCTGTCCTTTTTGGTCATCGGCTGCGATATTTTTCTGTGGCTAATATTATCTTTTTTCAGCTCGGCTTCAAATTATTTTTCATATTTCTTTAGTTGAGCCGTTTGTTAAAAAGTAAAATATTTTGGTCGTATTAATAACAACTTTATATATGGTACACTTTTTTTTTTATTCGATAAAAAATATAGGGAAAAAAGATAAATATACCCCCGAACTATCAAAAATGATATGCAAATATTTTCCGTCATACTAGAGCATATATACCCTTTATACTAACGGACACACACGTGTCATAATCTTATCCATCGATCTGACATTTATCGACGGATAAGATTGCGTCACGTGTCCCTATTTAGTCTTCCGTTAGCGTGAAGGGCATATATGCTCTAGTTTTTTGACGACAGGGGCATCAAT